TGTGAAACCCATTCTTTTCAATGGCTTGCGCCGCGCCAGGGCGGTTTATCGCTGCGTCGAGCAAAGCGCAAGCACAGCGCAGCGCACCGCTTCGCAAGCTTGCGCATAGGCCAGGTCAAAGTTGAACTATGTTGAACTTTGACAGCGGCGCGCTGTGACGAATGCACGCGTGGCCAATAGAAACCATCGGCTGGAAAGACCAGGATGCAAAATGGAGGAAAAGCTTATACTGTGTGTGTCTGAATTCCCCGAACTATATGACACAAGTTTGCAATTTCTTTCACAAGCGGGAACTCCCCAAGCTGCTCTCTGGACCTGAGTGTTTAGTGCACCCACAGCCTCTTCTTTCTTGCTGCTCTTTTTCTTCGAACTAGCAGGGCTAGTGCTAGCGCTTGCTTCTTAGCATGGGTCAGATACATATTTGCTGCTGACCAAAAGCTGGAACAACAAACAAATGACTAGACCCGGCAACCCAGCCGGTGCAGCGCAGCGCAAATGCGCTGAACCCCGCGGCCAGCGCAGCGCAAATCGCTTCCTATCTGAAAGGCCCAAACTCCTCCTCCACTGCACGCTGCCTGCGCCATCTTTGGTATTAGCTGCTACTGTCGCTAACAGCGGGCTGCTGTGACAGAAAATCCCATAATGCTTTGCGAGGAGAGCTCTCTGTGCAAAGCTTTCTGAGCTTTCTTCTTACACTTCGTAGACACTTTTTCTCCTACGACCCTCGGCCATTTTCAGAGAACCGCGGTGAGAAATGTGAGCTTCAATGACTGTCTGAAACCGTAGCTCACCACAGATATACGTCTGAAAGTGCGTATGTGTAGAAAACGATAGCTAATGTGACGAGCATGTAGGACGTAAACATATCACCAGAATGATTGACAATTAGAGGATCACTGATAAAGATTCCACCCGGAAATAAAACATTGTCCTCTATATCTTTAAAAGTTAAGATAATATAGGATCATCATAATGGTCTAGGTTTGATATAATAAATTCTTAAAAATGTTGTTCTGGAAATACTTACCTATCCTAACTTATATAATCTTTCCCATTAGAATTTTCTGCAGTTGTACACATTTGTTGTATTAGCTCCTCCTTCTCCTTACAGCTGAACACCTGACCAAAACAACGACCCGCTGCTGGACGTTATAAACCCAAACATGGTGAGGATGTCCAGGAAAGCCACCAGGCAAAAACACAAGAGTTATAAATTCATTATTCTTTTTTTTTTATTAGAAGTACCTTCCCCTACGATACAGATAGACTTGATGGGCGGGGGAAGAAAAAATGGCAAACAATGCCCCATGTTGGCTGTGCTAATGCTATACGCTAATGCTACCGCATGAAAGGAACACTTAAAATGTCATTTAAGCTTCGGTATCTGCATTAATAAAATAGAAAACCTCCTGGACAATACAAGTTGTTGCCACCAGCTTAAATATGTGCTAAATCAGGCATCCCCAAAGTTGGTCCTCGAGGGCCGCTGTCCTGATGGTTTTAGAGGTTTTCCTGCTCGAGCACAGCTGAATTACATTGATAGTTGATTATCAGGCTTTTGCTGAACTGCCGTCCTCAGAATCAGCTGTGTTTAAAGCAGAGAAACCTTTAAAACCTGCAGGACAGCAGCCCTCAAGGACAGACTGGACGCCTGGACTAAATGAACACAAACATCCCAATGGCGGCGTTCTGTAGAGATTAGCTCCCACTTTGTTCTGCTGTGTCACACATCGAATGCAGGGACCTGCTAATCAGCTGACTGCTCACCAAGCTAACAAAACAAACCCATGAGCCCCTTCCATTGCTCCTTCCCTTAGTTATAAAGGCACTTTAGACCGATAATAAGACAGATGAACATTACAAACCAGTGGAAAAGTAGGAAGTGACCTTCCCTGCAGCTCGATAACAGAATAAAACATCGCACATTTTTACCAGATAAGCAGATATTTTACACAGATTCATCATAAGACATTTTCATGGACCAGATACTTCTTTTACTTCATTAAAATGTGTTTGATCAGATCCATTTTTATTTTGAAATGTTTTTTTTCCTGCATGTCATAATCCATTATTAATGACTTAATAAAAAAAAGGTTTTAAGATTACAAATTACGTATAGGAAGTACATACCTTTATTGATTTATAACCTATATTAATAAAGCTTTATCTCGTCTGTTTTTACCTAAATTGATATTTTTCCCCTTATTCTTAATTTTGCTCTAATTAAAGAAGTTAAGATATTGTCATTTCTCGACTAGTAAGATGCTTGTGCCTTAAAACACTACAAAGGCAACAAATATAGAGTCTAATTCTGTCAAAAGGCAGATTTACATAAACGGAGGTTTACTTCCTCAGGTTGGTTCCTTCCTCTAAGAGATAAAAATTGTCATGAACAGAAACAGGTTCACAGAGAGAAGGAGAGAATCTGCAGGATTCAATTCTGACTTGACATAAAAAAAAAATCCAGTTTATTTCTTAAAGTCATGTTAAAATCACCTGGTTAGACTCTGTTTTACAATAGTACAAGAAAAAGTATTTAGAGGTTATTTTCTTTTAGTCTTTATCAAACACAAGGAATATATTTATTGATGATATATGATGATTACCTTGTTTTTATTTTTCTCTTTATGTCATGCAGTTTTTATTTCTTATCATCCTCTCATACTGGCCAAGTGTTAAGATATTGATCACGTTACGAGTCACTTTGAGTGTTGCACGTTACACTGAGGGTGAAGAAATGGAAGAAAGCAGCTTTTGTTAAAACAGCTGATATGAGACGCAGCCCTGTTCTTTCTCTGAACAAAGCACAGATTGTCTTCTCCAAGCCTCTGCTGAGGGGAGAGGGATCCCCCCCCCCCTGCTGAAAGCCTGCATGGGTGGACAGACCTCTGCTCCAGATGCAGCCTGGGCTCACCAGAATCACACACACTCCCACACCATCATATGCTGTCATCTCAGCAGGAAAGTCCAGTGTTCCCTGTTCGCACAGGAAATTGCTAAATGAACTTATATCAGCAGTAATATATGTAAACAAGAGGCTAGAGTGCTTCATTGAATTATATTTGTCAGTGGAGACTGTTATTATGGGATACAGACACAAACTGAGATGGTATAATCAAACTGTTGGCTTAACGGTGTAATTAGTGACGCCAGTATCCTTCTCTCCATTCCTTCTTTGTTACTTCACTCAAAATCTGGCTCCTAAATGTAAATCTAATCGCACTTTAAACGTATTTTAAATGAAGCTAAACTAACAGTAGTTTTGCATGAGTACGGAGGAGGATTAGGGCCAGTGGGAAAAAAAAAAAGTTAACTGATTTTCTAAATTTTATTTCAGTTTAGTATGGAGAAAAAAGTCAGAATTCTGACTTTAATCTCAGAATTCTGACTTTTTTCCTCAGAATTCTGACGTTTTTCCTCAGAATTCTGACGTTTTTCCTCAGAATTCTGACGTTTTTCCTCAGAATTCTGACTTTAAAGTCAGAATTCTGAGATTAAAGCCAGAATTCTGAGATTAAAGTCAGAATTCTGAGATTAAAGTCAGAATTCTGAGAAAAAGTCAGAATTCTGACTTTTTTCCCATGTTAAACTGAAATAAAATTTTAAAATCAGTTAACTTTTTTTTTTTTTTTCAGTGGCCCCAATCCTCTTCCGTACATGAGTCATGGGTTTCCTCTCAGGAAGGTTTTTAAAAATGCACGCCTCAGCCAAAATGAGCTGGGTCCTCCTTCACTACAGTCGGAATAATAAACAGTGCTGCGGGAAAACGAGACCTTTTTGGGGGTTCAAAGAGTCCACTGCAGGTGTTTGGGTCACAGATTCACCCACAGGGAGTTTTCTTTTTGTTTGTTTAGACGTTGATTTATCTCTCTTTGTTCAGAAGCATTATTCAGCACAGATGGTTTGATTCAGGGAAAGGTTTCTATGGAGAATGTTAGTATTTTTACTAAAACTGCATTTCTGGTGAAAATTAAATAGTGATTCTGTGGAGATGTATAGATATTTTCATCTCTAACTTTGACCTTCTTTTACAAATTTAATCTGATTTGATAACACATATTCTATCTATATTGTGATGCGCAAAAGAACAGTACCACATCCATTTCTTTTTTTGTTTTGTTTTTTTATTGCCCCTCCTTTATAACAGGATTTCATTAATACTTCCAAAGAAATTTTGAGTAGACATCCCTTTAAGCAGCCTATGTTAGCAGATAGCAAGGTTAGCAAGACTAAAGGCTGATTTATACTCAGAAACCAGGTTGTCTGCATCGCAGTAAACACAGATATGTCCCGCCCCTTCCGCAGCGACTCTGCTGCACGTCTCCAAAATTGTAGGTGCCCGTAGACAGGAGGCCTCTGATTGGTCAAATCTATGTCTGCTCTACATTATGCGCATTTTCTGTTTGGTAACTTACCTGCTTGTTTTGTTTGTATGACCGCCATTGTGGAAAACGACTCGTGTAGATGGACCAGCTAGCAGAGCGAGGTGCGCGAGAACGCTGGGACCCTTTTTCCACCTGGATTCCTGCTCTTTTTGGCCCTCATGTCCCTCCATTGTTGCACAAACTTGCCCCCACTTCCTCACCGCCTCGGCCGTATCTAGACCCACAGCTAGTTGCTGGTTGTCGCTCTGGCGTTGTGGCGTGGAATAACATAGTTGCGCTTCAATATTGGGTTTAAATCAAAAATATATGCGACAAGCTCACTGCGACACACTGCTGCGGGAGGATAACCCGCCCTTAACACCACTAACACAGCTGTCACCATGGATTTTCCAAACATTTTGAGCAGACAGCACTGATGCTAAAACTGGCCTTTTTATCCTCTTTCTACAGTAACGCATTTTGCACTGAAGAGTGTCTCTGTCTGCTTAACCAGTTGCCGCCTTACTTTGGCCAGTTGCCGATCGAGTCTAAAACTTATTTCTTTATTTGCTTTGGTTTGCAGCTGATTTCTCTGCGATAAACATGGATCCTTTCATCTCTTAATATTCTTTGCAGGATCTCGTCAGGAAAGGGATTCCCCACCACTTTCGAGCAATTGTTTGGCAGTTGTTGTGTAACGCCCAGAACCTGCCCATCAAAGATCAGTACTCTGAGCTCCTTAAGATGACCTCGCCCTGCGAGAAGCTCATTCGCAGGGACATCGCTCGCACTTATCCCGAACACGAGTTCTTCAAGGAGAAGGACAGCCTGGGCCAGGAGGTGCTCTTCAACGTCATGAAGGTAGACCTCCTCCTCCAACCTGAAACAACAACATCAATTAGGTGAAAGAAGCTAATCAGAGAGTATTTGATAACTCCAGGATGTCTCTTTTTATCCCTCAGGCCTATTCTCTGGTGGATCGTGAGGTGGGCTACTGCCAAGGAAGTGCATTCATTGTCGGTTTGCTGCTCATGCAGGTATTAACCTCATTGAAACGATTTAACAGCTCATCAATCAGCAACGATTCCTCTTGTGTTGATGCTACGTGTCTGGTTTGTTCTAGATGCCAGAGGAGGAGGCCTTCAGTGTGTTTGTGAAGCTCATGCAGGACTACAGATTGCGAGAGCTCTTCAAGCCCAGTATGGCTGAACTGGGACTTTGCATGTACCAGTTTGAAAGCATGATCCAGGTAGACCCAGCATCTGGAAACCCCTGTAAGAGAGAGAACTGCTGTTTGGATTGATGTGACGATGGAAATGTTTCGTTTGTGAATCAACAGGAGCAGCTTCCAGAGCTTCACATTCATTTCCAGGCTCAGAGCTTCCATACCTCCATGTACGCCTCCTCCTGGTTCCTCACCATCTTCCTCACCTCCTTCCCTTTGCCTGTAGCCACAAGGATTTTTGATATCTTCATGTGTGAGGTCAGTCGAAACAAGTGGCTCAACTCTTTCCAAAAGAAGTGTTTTGGACTCGGTGGTGCCGGTTAATCAATGGCTTCTGCTAGTCGGTTTTTATTTGTAATTTAACTAAAAAATAATCCTCACAGAACTTTAACTTTTCTTTTGCATCAGATTGTTGTCTTACAATAAAACTGGAATTTTGGAAGAGTTTCAAGAGAACTTCATAAAGAAAAAACATGTTAAATAATGGTAATGTAAAATAAATAGGTAGTGCAATACTGCCACCTGCTGGAGAACTCTGTACATCACACTTTCTGTGGTGCCTATAAAGCAAGGTGCCCAAAGTGCAGTTAGGAGTTTTTAGGAAGCCCCTGATTACAATATGAAAAGATAAAAAAAAAAACAATATATTATTGTCATTACCATTGCTGCAGATTCTTCAAGTTGAAAAAATCAAGCATGATTGCACCATTGTTGCTTAAAAAACACAAAGAATCTAGAAAAATGACAGTTGGTTTTTATAATCCAAATACACAATGATTTGAAGATTTATTTTTTGATTAAATCACTACTTAGCTTGCCTTATCCTAAATATGAGAGTAGTTCATTGTTTTGGTCTTCAGGGTTTGGAGATTGTTTTCCGCGTGGGGCTGGCCATCCTTCAGATGAATCAGGCTGAACTCATCCAGCTGGACATGGAGGGAATGTTACAGGTGTGTATGGTCACATTTCATTAAGTTTACCCCCCTCCCCCCCAACATCAACTCTGGCGGACCCAGCATCAGGCTGAAAAGTCATCCTGCCTCATGTTTCTTCTCATGGGTTTCAGTACTTCCAAAAGGTCATCCCACATCAGTTGGACAGCGGACCAGATAAGGTCATCCAGGCTGCCTATCAAGTTAAATACAACGTCAAGAAAATGAAGAAGTGAGCATTTCTGTCATCTTTTAACTCTGAATAGATTACATTATTAGATGGAATCGTTTCTGGTTACAGATCTGTTTATTGTCACATATACGTTAAAGAGGCTAAGAGCAGCGACACTTTATGGATTTGCCCAGAAAAGGCTGTTAATAAAGACGGAAGGATTGCTCAGACCCGTATCGTCTCTGTGTTACAGTTTAAACTTTGAATAATGAAATATTTTATCTCAAATTTTCCAGGTTAGAGAAGGATTACACTACAATCAAAACGAAAGAGATGGAAGAACAGGTGGAGATTAAGGTGAGTAGGAACCTTTAAACAATGTCGCATCCAAATACAAAATATGCCAATACAGTTGATCATTTCTCTTCTTTTTAAATACTATTTTCAGTTTATTTTATCCGATTTCAAACAAATTACATTTTAAGGGTCTACAGTCAGTTCAGTCAAACTGATAATGTTTAGTCGGTGCAGAAACTCCACATTACGGTATGTTGGACCCAATAAAACAATCGAAAATCTGACTTTTTTCTCAGAATTCTGACTGAATTCTGACAATAAAAAAGTCAGAATTCTGAGATTAAATTCTGAATTCTGACTGAATTCTGACAATAAAAAAAGTCAGAACTTTGAGATTAAAGTCAGAATTTTGAGATTAAAGTAAGAAATCTGACTGAATTCTGACAATAAAAAAAGTCAGAACTTTGAGATTAAAGTCAGAATTTTGAGATTAAAGTAAGAAATCTGAGATTAAAGTCAGAATTCTGACTGAATTCTGACAATAAAAAAAGTCAGAATTTTTAGATTAAAGTCAGAATTCTGAGAATAAAGTCAGAATTCTGAGAAAAAAGTCAGAATTCTGAGAAAAAAGTAAGAATTCTGACTGAATTCTGACAATAAAAAAAAGTAAGAATTTTTAGATTAAAGTCAGAATTCTGAGATTAAAGTAAGAAATCTGACTGAATTCTGACAATAAAAAAAAGTCAGAATTTTTAGGTTAAAGTCAGAATTTTGAGATTAAAGTAAGAAATCTGAGATTAAAGTCAGAATTCTGACTGAATTCTGACAATAAAAAAAGTCAGAACTTTGAGATTAAAGTCAGAATTTTGAGATTAAAGTAAGAAATCTGACTGAATTCTGACAATAAAAAAAAGTCAGAACTTTGAGATTAAAGTCAGAATTTTGAGATTAAAGTAAGAAATCTGAGATTAAAGTCAGAATTCTGACTGAATTCTGACAATAAAAAAAAGTCAGAATTTTGAGATTAAAGTCAGAATTTTGAGATTAAAGTCAGAATTCTGACTGAATTCTGACAATAAAAAAAAGTCAGAATTTTTAGATTAAAGTCAGAATTCTGAGAATAAAGTCAGAATTCTGAGATTAAAGTCAGAATTCTGACTGAATTCTGACAATAACTTTGAGATTAAAGTCAGAATTTTGAGATTAAAGTAAGAAATCTGAGATTAAAGTCAGAATTCTGACTGAATTCTGACAATAAAAAAAGTCAGAATTTTTAGATTAAAGTCAGAATTCTGAGAATAAAGTCAGAATTCTGAGAAAAAAGTCAGAATTCTGAGAAAAAAGTCAGAATTCTGACTGAATTCTGACAATAAAAAAAAGTCAGAATTTTTAGATTAAAGTCAGAATTTTGAGATTAAAGTAAGAATTCTGAGATTAAAGTAAGAAATCTGACTGAATTCTGACAATAAAAAAAGTCAGAATTTTGAGATTAAAGTAAGAAATCTAACTGAATTCTGACAATAAAAAAAGTCAGAACTTTGAGATTAAAGTCAGAATTTTGAGATTAAAGTAAGAAATCTGAGATTAAAGTCAGAATTCTGACTGAATTCTGACAATAAAAAAAAGTCAGAACTTTGAGATTAAAGTCAGAATTTTGAGATTAAAGTAAGAAATCTGAGATTAAAGTCAGAATTCTGACTGAATTCTGACAATAAAAAAAAGTCAGAATTTTGAGATTAAAGTCAGAATTTTGAGATTAAAGTCAGAATTCTGACTGAATTCTGACAATAAAAAAAGTCAGAACTTTGAGATTAAAGTCAGAATTTTGAGATTAAAGTAAGAAATCTGAGATTAAAGTCAGAATTCTGACTGAATTCTGACAATAAAAAAAGTCAGAATTTTTAGATTAAAGTCAGAATTCTGAGAATAAAGTCAGAATTCTGAGAAAAAAGTCAGAATTCTGAGATTAAATTCTGAATTCTGACTGAATTCTGACAATAAAAAAAGTCAGAACGTTGAGATTAAAGTCAGAATTTTGAGATTAAAGTAAGAAATCTGACTGAATTCTGACAATAAAAAAAAGTCAGAACTTTGAGATTAAAGTCAGAATTTTGAGATTAAAGTAAGAAATCTGAGATTAAAGTCAGAATTCTGACTGAATTCTGACAATAAAAAAAGTCAGAATTTTTAGATTAAAGTCAGAATTCTGAGAATAAAGTCAGAATTCTGAGAAAAAAGTCAGAATTCTGAGAAAAAAGTCAGAATTCTGACTGAATTCTGATAATAAAAAAAAGTCAGAATTCTGAGATTAAAGTCAGAATTCTGAGATTAAAGTAAGAAATCTGACTGAATTCTGACAATAAAAAAAAGTCAGAATTTTTAGGTTAAAGTCAGAATTTTGAGATTAAAGTAAGAAATCTGAGATTAAAGTCAGAATTCTGACTGAATTCTGACAATAAAAAAAGTCAGAACTTTGAGATTAAAGTCAGAATTTTGAGATTAAAGTAAGAAATCTGACTGAATTCTGACAATAAAAAAAAGTCAGAACTTTGAGATTAAAGTCAGAATTTTGAGAATAAAGTAAGAAATCTGAGATTAAAGTCAGAATTCTGACTGAATTCTGACAATAAAAAAAGTCAGAATTTTGAGATTAAAGTCAGAATTCTGACTGAATTCTGACAATAAAAAAAGTCAGAATTTTTAGATTAAAGTCAGAATTCTGACTGAATTCTGACAATAACTTTGAGATTAAAGTCAGAATTTTGAGATTAAAGTAAGAAATCTGAGATTAAAGTCAGAATTCTGACTGAATTCTGACAATAAAAAAAAGTCAGAATTTTTAGATTAAAGTCAGAATTCTGACTGAATTCTGACAATAAAAAAAAGTCAGAATTTTTAGATTAAAGTCAGAATTCTGAGAATAAAGTCAGAATTCTGAGATTAAAGTCAGAATTCTGACTGAATTCTGACAATAACTTTGAGATTAAAGTCAGAATTTTGAGATTAAAGTAAGAAATCTGAGATTAAAGTCAGAATTCTGACTGAATTCTGACAATAAAAAAAGTCAGAATTTTTAGATCAAAGTCAGAATTCTGAGAATAAAGTCAGAATTCTGAGAAAAAAGTCAGAATTCTGAGAAAAAAGTCAGAATTCTGACTGAATTCTGACAATAAAAAAAAGTCCGAATTTTTAGATTAAAGTCAGAATTCTGAGAATAAAGTAAGAATTCTAAGAAAAAAGTCAGAATTCTGACTTTTTTCCCATAATAAACTAAAATAAAATTTAAAAATCAGCTAACTTTTTTTTTTTTCCAGTGGCTCTAATCCTCTTCCGTATCAATCGCTTATTCATACGACTGTTGTGTTTTTTTGGGGGTATTTTGGGTGGTTTATTGAGAAGTGGAAGGAAATAAACTCCACCTAAAAAGTAAAGATCTAACAATCTAGTTCTAGTTTGATTAATTTCCCCAGTAGTCATTCCACCAGTTATAATAAAATACTTTTTTATTTCCCTGTCAGGAGCCTCTTGTTGTGGCTGATGAGCGTATCGGTTGTGTTTCTGTCTTTGTTTTGCAGAGATTGCGGACGGAGAACAGGCTCCTGAAGCAGAGGATAGACACACTGGAGAAGGTGAGTTCCTCACAGCAAAAACACAAACCTCTCCTCTCTCACCAATAATCCATCCGGCTTTGTTCGTTCACACACCGAGCCTTTTCTTGCACTAACCAGCCTTTGTTAGCAGTACTGATGGATACCCGATGGATTTCTTGTTCTTTAAATCCATTCAGATGGACGTATTTCCTGATAACCGTCTTTAAACCTCAGGTTGAGAATGCTGAGATCTCCTCAGATATTACTTTGTGAAGCAGGGAGTTGAATCTGAGGGCTGCTTTTTGACATGAAATGCTGCTTGGAGCACTGCATGCTGGGTGTAGCTGTTCCTCATGTTTCCTGAGGGGGCGCACACGCTGCACCGTGCATGAGGATAACCGGGGTGTCTGCTGGGCTGCTGCTTCCCCAAGGAACCTCGGAGCTCTGAACATGTCGACACAAACTGCTGCTCTTTGACCTGCAGACTGGAACCTTTTTCACATTTAACCTGTCGCCATCTGGAGCCATTAAAAAACCTGGATGAGACGCTTCTGCTCAGTTAAACCCGCTCTAACTATTCACTGTAGTGTTTGTAGCTTTCTTCTGTGTGCAGAGTCACTCATCTTACTTTGTCACCAGCTTAGTTTCCCTTTTTTCACCACGCCTGCATGCAATGTTCCTTTTTCTACCTTTACGTTTGAGCGTCATCGTTTTCAGGACCTAAACTATTGTCTCTGGAGGGAAAACGAACATTGCATTTCTTCTTTGAAACAATCAGTTGTTCTTTTTTGTGCTTTAACTGTCCTTTGGTTTGTCTCTCTCTCTGCTGTCTCTGTTGATATTTCTGTTTTGTAGGAAAGTGCTTCCTTGGCAGATAGATTGATTCAGGTATATTTCCTTATTTTCTCTAACCGTTTAAGTCCTTTTTCTTTCCCTCTCTCCATTTTTGCACTGCATGCTTACCTCTTAAGCTAAATTATTGTCAGGTAACGATCAAAATCTAATGAACGTTGATGAATAAAGAGCTAAATCACATCGCAACTGATAACATTGTTCATTCAGTGCATGAAACTCCACATTAAGGCATGTTGGACCGAATAAAACAATCGGAAATCGAAACCTTAACAGGAATGACAGTTGCTAGTGTTAAAACAAGCATGAAAACCTCACCCCAACCTCTGTTTTGATTTGCCCACCCATCCCACCCTTTTCCGTTTCACTTCCTGCCGTGCTCATTCCAACTGCTCCTCGGTTGCTTATGTCCAAAAGGGACAAGTGACTCGAGCCCAAGAGGCAGAGGAAAACTACCTGGTCAAGCGGGAGCTGGCCACAGTCAAACAGCAGTACGAGGAGGCCGCTGCTCAGCTGGAGCAGGCCAAGAAAACCATCAAGCAGCAGCAGCCACAAGCGGTAAGGAGGGGGGGAAGGCGGATGACCTCGCTGGAGGGACGCCGCGGCGAAGCTTTAGGTGTAGGTTGCAGATGTGTGTGTTTTAAACAGATTTCTAACTGATCTTTTTTGGGGGTTTCAATGCATAAATTGCACGTCTATAATGATACAATCAGTCGTCAGTGAAGGGATTTCAGCTTTTTGCATTTCAGGCTGAAGCCCCTATGTGGGGGGGGGGTGGAAGGCGGGGTCTTATCACCTCACTCATGGGTGTCAGGCAGCCATCTGTTTGGGGTATGCATGAATCCAGATGGGTACACAGGTCTACACATGTTAGGCACCGTTTTACTGTCTGTGTTCATGAATCTGTAAGCAGCCCCCACCTCCATGCTCCCAGAATCCTCTCTGTTCGTTTCTGGAGTTGTTAAATATTCATGTCTGGATTCCACACCATAATGTGCTGTCATTACACTGCTTTACATAATCTGCTGTCTTGTTTAACAGTAAATAGACATGAATTAGTGATGAGACATGAAAACTGGAACTGAGAGGGTTTATTAAGCTCAGCGAGGCTTTGCCCTTCGCTCTGACCGTCGTCCTGTTTGGGTTCCAGAAGGGACCGCCTCGCTTCTCCGAGGAGTCCGTTCTGCAGCTGGAGAAGGAGCTGGTCCAGGCCCGGCTGAAAGAGGCGGAGTCCCAGTGTGCGCTCAAAGAAATGCAAGATAAAATCCTGGACATGGAGAAGGTAAGATGTTTTTTTTACACGTGCAAACAGAACAGGCTTCTCCTGCTCAACCTTTTTTCATTTTTCTAGAGGAACTCCTCACTACCAGATGACACTAATGTGGCGCGACTCCAAGACGAGCTGATTGGGGTGAAGCTGAGGGAAGCGGAGGCTCTGACCGGGCTGAAAGAACTGAGACAACAAGTCAGAAATCTGGAGGAGCACTGGCAGGTGAGCAGCTGCATGCAGACTCACACGTTCAACAGTCTTAGACTTAGACAAACTTTATTGTCTCTCTGTATGCAACAAAACGACATTTTGTTGCATACAGCTTACAACAGTGTAAGGAGATTGCAGTTGGAATAAGATAACATTACCAATATAAAGTATAGCAGTGATCAGATTAGTCCAGACGTCTATAAGCATTAAATTAACAAGATATTTTTTTTTGTATTTTGTTTCTGTATTTTTTTTATACTCTAATAATCCCAGAGGGAAATTACTTCTCTGCATTTAACCCCTCCCCTTGGGGAGCAATGGGTTGCAACTGTGCGGCGCCCGGGGAGCAGTGTCACTGCAAAAAATTGAAATCTAAATAAGTCATTTTTTCTTGCAATTAGTGCATTTTTCTTGAATTGAGGAGGTTTACAGGCAATTTACATTTAAAATAAGAAAACACAATTGCACTGTCTTATTTTAAGTAAATATTATCGAATTATCTTATTTTAAGACTAAAATACTCACTTCATTGGCAAATTATCTTATTTACCTACTTAAAAGAATTGTAAATACACTTAATTTAAGACATTTTTTCTCATTTTTAGATGGTTTTTGCAGTGTGGGGTTAAGGGTCTTGCTCAGGGACTCGGGGAGTGGCAGTCTGTGGGAGTGGGGGATCGAACTCACAGCCTCAGGATTCAAAGCCCTATGCCCTAATCACTAGGCCGCCACTTGGTGCATGTATTATTCGACTGAATGGGCTTTAGATTATCTCTAAAAACGCTTCTGACTCATCTGGAAAACGCTGGAATGTTCTTTTTTTCCAGGTTCTGGACAATAAAATTTACACAGTTATAAAATATGTTGAAATCTGTCCATCTTTCTGTGAATTCTTTCATTTATTTTCCGGTCCGTCCATCCAGGTATTCCTCCAGTCTCTGGTTATTATCGACTTCATGTCTAAAGCTTAAAAAAAAACTGCAGAAATTTCTATAAATGATTTTAGCGAAAGCTGTGGAAGTGTTCTAGGTCCAGAGAAGCATTGCTATTTCTGTGATGTGGTGAAAAAAGACTGATTGGGACCCGTCTCCACAGCGCCACCTAGCTCGCACCGCTGGACGCTGGAAGGACACCCCAAAAAAGAACACGCTGAGCGAGCTGCAGGACGAGCTGATGAGCGTCAGGCTGCGAGAGGCCGAGGCCCAGGCTGAGCTCAGAGAGACGCGACAGAGGCTCCTAGAGATGGAGACTCAGGTATGAGATCACATCTTTCATCATCTCATCTTTTTCTACTTTGCTTTTCACTTTTTTCACTCTTATTTAGTCTTAATAATAACCTAGAGGCCGATTTATCTTCCATTATTGTTATTTTATTGTTTTCTCAGTTTTTATTTTTCCCACATTGCAGACTTTTTAAATGTTTTGTCAAATGTTTTTTTTTTTTTTTTTACAGGTATAATACTTTCCAACTTTCTGTTTTTTCTTTTGTTTTCTAGATTTTATAGCTGCATTTTTTTATTTTATTAAAATTTTTCGGATCAAGTTTTACCAATTGCGTTCTTTTCAGACTCCAGATCACATTCTGTTCACCTCTGGGGGCGGGCTCTCCTCTGGACGGAGGAGTGAAGTCACATTTCTATTGGTCTGCTGGACGTTGGCGATAGCATTTTATTGGTCAAGGTGGATTGTTTGCATTTGGCTTAAAGCAGGGTTCCCGCGGGTCCTTAAAAAGTCTTAAAATGCATTAAATTCTTCAAAATAAAATTAAGGCCTTAATTTTTAAAACATCATAAATAGGATTATCACGATTTATTTTTGTAATCTAAATAAAACGTTAAAATTGACATTTTTTTTTTTCTTTTTATAAAAAAAAAATAAATAAATAAAATGGCTCTCCATCATTGGTTCCGTCCCGATAGCGGAACCAATAAAAGTGTTGTTGCGGCCGGGACATTTGGGAGATGCGCCATTAACTTTTTGTCTGGAAAATATGAGCAAGTGTAAATGTAACCAAAATTGTCTCCAGCCAAGAGTTTTCTCCATGGCTAAAACCAGGGAACATACATGAGGCTCAGTGGATTTAGTGCAAGAAGTCATTCAAGCTCAGAACGATGGGAATTAAGGCAGTGGAGTCGCACATGCGAAGCACGAAACACAAAGCGTCAAAATGGAGTTACAGAGAAACAGCCGGTATTTCTCAGTTTAGTTCCACCCTTGTCTCTGCAACGCCTCCACTTATCACCAAATCAAACATACTAAGAAAACGATACAAAGAAAAATAGCTGCAAAAAAGACTTAGCACTGGATATGTTGGGACTTTAAAACTGATTTGTTTTGTTCCCTGCTAAAACAAAGTTTGTGAATTCAGTTAAATAATTGTTCAAATATATCTGTCATTTGTGTGTTTTTAGCTTTCTTCCTGTATGGGAAGCTTTTCAAAATTTGAAACATTAGTGCAGTGGTTTATGTTAAAATAAATCTTTGGGTTAAGTTGTTGCAAGCAGATTTTTCTTGTGTTTCTTGTGAATTTGGTCTTAAATTTTTATTTCAAGTGGCATTAAAAAGTCTTAAAAAGTCTTGAATTTAACTTGCCTTATGCTGTAGGAACCCTGTAAAGTGAAGCGACTGAGAGCTGTGAAACACAATGTGAAAAAAATGGAAAACGCATCTGAAAGAGAGAGATTTGAATTATTAGATCTGTAAAAAAAAAAAAAAAAAAAAAAAAAAAAAAGAAAATCTGATAAAACGCAAATTTACCCGGGAAAACATGTTATTTTCAATAATAATAATTGAACAAAATTCACTCCACAGCATCTTATCTTTTCTCCTTTTGTTGTGATTTTATACAGTCACCATTAGAGGGCAGCGATTATCTGTAACGTTATTTAACATGCCTTTATTTTCTGTCTGCTCCTCCAGAATCAGATCCACAGCAACCAGCTGCGGCGGGCTGAACAGGAGAGCCGCTGTCTGCAGGAGCGCGTGACGACGCTGACCACCCAAAATAAGGATCTGCACACGCAGCTGCAGGAGATCAAGCGGAGGCAGGCTGAGATTGAGTGCAAGGTACAAACAACCTGTAGCTGTTAGCATTGCCTCTGCAGAGGGCTAGCCAACAGAGCTCAGTTGTGGTTTAAACTGTGAAGTTCAACCTGTGAAATTGGGCAAAAAAAACAAGCAGTGTTGATGTTTTTTGCAGAGTAAGGAAGAGGTGATGGCTGTGAGGTTGAGGGAAGCTGACAACATCGCTGCCATGGCTGAGCTTCAGCAACAGATCTCAGAGCTGGAGATTCAGGTGAAGTCCCTGCTCTGCATCAGACACTGGATGTCCTCATCTCCCTCACCAGCACTAACCGCATCACACATACCTCATCTTTTTCAGCCACAGAGGGAAATTTCTCCTCTTGTGAAACATACGGGTGTCAAATTTAAATTCAAGTCTTATTTTAATGCTAGTAGAGGAGGAGAAGTTGGGTTCATGCTTGTTTCTTATTATGATTGAACTTTGATGCTGTGGTTTTTAGACTTTTTCTTTGATTTAAAATGCGCACAGATCTGATTGGATTTTACAGTTTTACATTGGCCCTCCACAATTTGCGAATTTCTGATGATCTGAATCAGATTTAGGTGATGGGTTGTTTGTTTTCGTTGCCATGGTCGCAGTCAGGAAACCTTATCTGATTTAACATTCAACTGGTTTCATTAGGAATATGTGAGAGTGGGTGGATGAACCAGCCAGGGCTATATATGCAAAAAGGTTTTTCTCTTTTTAGTCACAGCACAGCCTCAAACTTTCACACATTGTTTTTTTTTTTTCTTTTACAAACAAAGCAACTTGGAGCTTAACTGAGGTGAGGAAGGAACAGGACAACTGCAAAAACCTTTCCCCTGTCTCCCTGGAGTTTTTCTTGCTTTATAACCTTTAATTTAAATACTTTTTTGCAAGGATGGACGATATATACCAGCATTAATACCAGTGTGGGTCATTGCTGGTCATTTTGAACCACATGGTCGTCGTTCTGATTTGTTAAACCTTATTCATTGTTTTTGGAAGGAAGGTGATTGATTAAGTGGGTTTTTTGCGGTTACTATGCAGCAAAGGATTGTGGGTGTTTAACTGAAGCAGAGAAGCTTTAATGGTGCCCAAAGGTAATATAGAACACTTCACAGGTAATGTGCATATTTATATTCTCCCTTTGCTATGAAAACCCTAAAAAAGTTCTGGTGTAGATTTAAAGAGGAAGAATATTTTTTCCAGACTTAAAAATAAAAAATGTCACCCAATATTTTTATTCTGGTGCAATTTTAATATAGGGCTTGGGATCCGCGTTGCATTGTGGGACGTGGCGGCCATATTGAACGTAAACATAGCTCTGATACAACGTTGTTGTTGAAAGAAGAGACGTAGAAGTAACACCGAAAGGGATCTGGAATTTACCGGGACACATTAAATAGAGAAGCCAGGGACCGGTATGTTGACAAAATCAGCATTATTAATAATTTGGATCCATATGAAGTTCCAAACAATGAGTGGAGCACCGATGAGTGAGTGCCTATACTTCAAAACAGTTCCGAAGCTACACGTCCTTGGAGTCTCATATGCAGTTCATGAATGGATGGGTTCAGGAGCTGCAGATCATAAAGCCAGCAAACAGTGGGAACACAGTAATCCGTACAAAGGTAAGCTGTGCTCAGACGGGCTCTGGAACCTGCTAGTTTAGCAACTGCTAACCGCTAGTGCTAACAACCACTCACACATGTAATGTACTTTTAACTAGCTGCTATGTGTTTCAAAGGTGTAGTTAGTAACGTTAACTGCCAACCCTCCCCAAACGCTCTGGGTTTCTCACGTATTTGAGCCTTTTCCCGCTGCCGTTTTTATTATTTTCCCGTAAAAGATCCCAACCTTGAAGGAAAGAAACAATGTAGGCTATAAAATAAAACCGTGCATCTTTAACTTACCAGAATCAAAATGCAGGGAACACACTCTCATTGACATCGGGATACTGTGGAAAGTTATGTTCGGTCGTCTTACAGCCGCGATCCAAGCTAGCCGACGACTCTTTATCTCTGACACTTGGTCTCCGTGGTTGCGCCTCCAGTTAGGAAAGCGGTGGAAAGTTAACCCATTTTCTATGTTGTTCCCATGGCGATCATGTGTTGCGCTGTTACAGCCCACAATACAGCAACGGTTTACCATGGTTGAAATCAAGTTAAGGTGAAATTAATCTAATTAAAACACGGCTGAGAGGGAGTACAGTACGCGGTAGTCATAGGCAGTAGTCTGAGCAGCGGTAAAGGAAGCGGCCACGCAAAGTAATTACGTCATGACGCCCAAGCCCTATTTGTTTAGAAAGTACATTTTTTTAAATCTGAGATTCTTCAGCTCATAGCCAGATGATTAAAGCTCGTCTAACCAAACCAAACAGCCGTGGATCCAGACTGTGTCTTCTATAAACAAACGTCAACAAGCAGGGGAGGAGCCTGTGTTTATCCCCAAACAGGCGTAAGGTGATACACAAAAACAAGGCTGACCAAAACAAAACAGGTCGGTTCCGATGGTCCCGTCGTCCAGAAGACTGGGAGCCAAAAACGGCGACCAATCAGGCTCCAGCTGGTTTGTCTGATCAACACGTTTCAACCCTCAGCTTTGTTTTTGTTTCTGTTTAGTATTTATCTAGCAGGCTGTTGGACCTTCCTCTCTCCAGAACATCCTCTGAAGTCTTTCAATGTTTTATTTTGGTTTTGGCTTCTGTGTTGTTTTTTTTGCATTCTGTGGTCTTTTTTTAGTAATAGGTTTACTTTTAACCTAACAGGTCTTTATTCGAAGCTTTTTCAAAACCAATACATACGTAATATTTTTCCCCAAGTTCACAAGAAGGTATTTGTTGATAAGTCACAGATGAGTAAGTGTCTGTCACCATTTAGCCCACACGTAGCCTTATTATGCAGCAATAGTTTGAAATTATGAAGGATTTTTTAAATGTGGCGACTTTCTAAAACCTGTTGACTCAACTGTTTTGATCAGTGGAAATAATCTCTGTTGGCATCAGTAGATGGGATTCCAGAAAATGAGTCTGTTGTGATGAAATGGCTCCTTTCTTCCAGTCAGTATGGATCAGAGGCTTGTTTCTGACTTTTAGTATAAGAAGGAGTATTTTCATACCAGAAACGATGCTGTCGTTCTTTAACTTTGACAAGCTGACAGAAGAACGGGAGGTTTTCCCTCCTCCACCTGTTGATGCGCAGCACCAGTCAACCGGCTAAAATGAAAACTTTATTTCCTGGCTTTTAGGTAAACGTCAGTCAGTACAGGGTTTTGATGTTTGTTTAAAAGGCTTTCTCTCGTAATGACGACTTCAAGGCAGCGCCTGTAGGAACAAACGTGTCACTTTCCCCTTCACTCTAATTTTTCTGGTTCTTAAGTTATGATGAGGGTCCACCTGCAAACTTTACCTTTGGCTCCTGTGTTTGTGGGCTGATGTGCTGAACTGTTCCTCCTCATAACGAAGCGTGTGCATCAACATCCAAAGAGTTTAGCTTTAGCCTCGTTCATCCAGGGCCGTTTCTCCTCACAGGCTATCATACAATTCAGAAGCTTTTTATACTCTCTGTACTCTCTGATTGTCACAGTTTGTTTCCTCTTCCTTTATTGTTTCCTCTTTCCAGACATAGACAGCCAAATTAGCTCAGGTAGAAGCTAAATTTTAAAAATACTCAAATTGTTTTTTTTGGGTTTTTTTCAGTTGATAGAAGTAGAAGCAAAAAATGAAGGGTTGGTTCTCCTCCCACAGCAGCGTGTCGCAGTGAGCTTGTCACAGATATTTTTGATTTATGCCCAATTTTGAAGGTTGCACTATGTTATTCCATGCCACAACGCAAGAGGGACAATCAGGAACTAGCCGTGGCCTAGATACGGCCGAGGCGGTGAGGAAGTGGGGGCAGGTTTTTGCGACAACAGAGGGACATGAGGGGGAAAAATAGCAGGGATCCAGGTGGAAAAACCGTCCCAGGGTTCTCACGCACCTCGCTCTTCTAGCTGGTCCATCTTTATGGCGGTCATACAAACAAAGCAAGCCGGTAAGGTACCAAACAGGAAATAGGTATAGTATAGAGAGGATGTAGATTTGACCAATCAGAGGCCTCCTGTCTGCGGCACTCTCTACGGCAGTGTTTTTCAAACCTGGTCCTCAAGGCACCCTGCCCTGAATGTTTTAGATGTTTCCCAGCTTTCACACACCTGTTATCAATTGATAGCAGATTATCAGGCTTTGCTGAACTGCAATCATCTGAATCAGGTGTGCTGAACCTCAGAAACATCCAAAACATGCAGAGCAGGGTGCCTTGAGGACCAGGATTAAAAAAAAACACTGGTCTACGGTCACCTACAATTTTGGAGAGGTGCACCAAAGTGTCTGCAGCAGGGGCAGGGGCACATTTGCGTTCACTGTGACATACGCAGACAACCTGGTTTGTGAGTATAAACCAGCCTTTAGAGTGCTTAATGAATATAAGTGCAAACAGTTCCCCTTTCTAACTATTGTTCCAGCTTAAGTCCTACTGTTCAAATGAACATCCTGGAAATGATGGGGTGACATATCAGGGTTCTCAACAGCGTATTTCAGCGTAGAGGGTAATTTGTCCCCGCTACACTGATATTCAGCCTACTACGCTAATTTTCCCGTCCTCAGGGCTCCCTCCAGCACATTTTAGCACAAACACTAATTACACCGAAAGTTGTGAAAATGACAACAGAATCCAGTCGATACGCCAACTTTTGATGAGCGTAACGGCTGCAGTGTTTTTAAACACTTATTTGCCTGTATAGGAAAGAGAAAAGTGCTGTGAAAACATGAATGCCGTGCCGCTCAGACTCTGTCATCGTCTAACCCGTAGAGCCTGCAGGCAGGTGATCTCATGCGCTGCCGCCCTGCTAGCAGACACAGAGCCAGCTTTGAAATGATGTTTACAGGTTCTAAGGGATTTCCATTGAGTTTTTTTTTTTTTCTCCACCCAATAAAAAGCAGCATTGCTGCTCTGGTGCGAAGTCACCTTACCTCAGCTCCAGGTGGATCAGAGCAACGTCTCTGGGTCAGTTGGACATTTCACACTTTATAAGTAACTACTCTACAGTAATAGCCATAGCTGGTCCCCTACAATTCATTTTTAAACATCGATCTTTGTGCTAAAATATTCTTCTGTCATGATTTATGGACATTAAGATCTAAAGAGAAGCGTCATCTCCTGGTCAGACTCTGTAATTCAGTGGAAGGTTGGAGACAGAGTAAAAAAATTGCGCTCCCAGGAAACGGCCAGTGGCTGGAAGTTGGATGGGATTTGGCTGGGAGCTGCAGGGAAGTGGGCTGCCATTCGGCTGGTGTTTGACTGAATGTTTGATCGAATGGCTGCTACCGTATATACGTTTTTGGGTTTTAAACAGTCAGATAATAGGTGTATTTATCTGGCACAGAATGGACCGGTAGATTGGGAGATACTTTCTGCTAAAGGAGGAAAACA